TTTCTAGTTCTTTGAGGTATTTCCATACTGATTTCCACAGTGGTTGCACCAGTCTACACTTCTACTGGCAGTAGAGCAGGGTTCCTCTTTCCCCACAGTCCCAGTAGCCTTTGTTATTGGTTGATTTCATGATTGCAGCCGTTCTTTCTTGGATTCTTAGGTGTTTTTTTCATTTGCATCTCTCAAATGACCAGTGATGTTGCACATTTTTTCAAATATTTATTTGCTATTTCTATTGCTTTATTTGAGAAATGTCTGTTCATTTCAGATGCCCATTTTTGGATTGGATCTTTACATTTTTGAGGTCTGATTTTTAAAAATTTCTTTATATATTCTAGATTGCAGACCTTTGTCTGAGGAGCAGCTCGTGAAAAGTTTTTGCCACATTGTTGGTTGTCTCTTCACACTATTGGTGGTTTCTCTTGCTGTGCAGAAACATTTTAGTAGGAAGACATCCCACTTGTTGATTGTTTGTGTTACTTCACAGGCAACTGAGGATTTGTTCATAAAATCTTTTCCTACATCAATATCTTCAAGTGTTCCACCTAACCTTTCTTCTAGCTGGTTTAGTGTTTTTGTTTTAATATTTAGATTTTTGATTCATTTTGATTTTAGTTTAGTGCATGGGGAGAGATATAGGTCTAGTTTTAATCTTTGGCAAATTGAAACCCAGCTTTTCTAGCACCATTTCTTAAAGAGGCTACCTTTCCTCCAGTGAGGATGTTTGGCTCCTTTGTCAAAGATGAGGTGGTTGAGTATGGTATTAGGGTAATACTGTTTTCAAGAAATGAATTTGAAAGTGTTTCTTCTCTTTCAATTTTATAGAAGCATTTGAGGAGTAATGACATTAATTCTTCTCTGAACTTCTGGTAAAATCTGGCAGTGAATACATTGGGACCTGGCTTTTCTTAGTTGGTAGGATTTTATTACCTGTTTTTGGAATGTTTGGGGTTTTTATATCTTTCAGTTTTGGCACCTTGTATGTGTCTAGGAATCTGTACATTTCTTCTAGATTCTCCAAATTATTGGAATACAGATTTTCAAAATAGATACCTATAATTCTCTGAATTTGGGCAGTGTCTGTTGAGATTTCATCTTTTTCTTTTTAATTGCTCTGACATGGGTCTTTTTATTTTTTCTTTTGGTAAGTTTGTCTAAGAGTTTGTCTTTTTTTTGTTTATCCTTTCAAAGAACCAATTCTTTAAATTCATTTATTGTTTGTATTGTTCTTTGAAACTTAGTTTCATTAATTTTTCTCACTGATCTCTATAATTTCCTTCCTTACATCAGTTTTTGGATTGCTCTGTTTTTTCTAGGACTTTGAGGTGAACTATGCAATTGGCTATTTGAACTTTTTCTGTTAGTTACTTTTTTTGTTGCTGAAACAAAATATCTGACACCCAAAGTTAAAAACAGTGTAACACTTTAGTAATCACATATCCCTAATCCCAGTATCACATACTCTAGATTCATCCACCTCTGCAAAAGTCACCTATGAATGCGTGAGGCTTTGGGTGAACATCTAGACCCAAACCATGACATTCCACACCTGGCCCCCCAAAAGCTCATGTACATTCCTTTACACAAAAGGCAGTTAGTCCATTTAATTATGCCAAGAGTTGTCAAAGTCCTAAAGGTTTTAGGGTTTCTGAAAAGTCCAAGTCCAAAGTCTCTTCAGCCATTTAAGGCAAATTTTTAGCTGCAAGCCCCTATATAAATGAAAAGAAAGTCAAATACTTCCAACATTCAGTGCCACAAGATAGACATTTCAATTCCAAAGGTTGGAAATAGGAAGAGTGCAAGGAATGGGAGCAAAGGGCTGACATTAAATCCCACAGTTCCACTGCCGGCATCCCCAGAAATCTGTTGTGAATGCCAAAAGACTTGGGTGGCTTCACCCCTACAGCACTTCTGGTAGTTATGCCTCCCATGGCTTCTCTCTTGGACTAGCTCCCTCCTTGCAGTTTTCCTCAAATTATTCACATACCTGGCTTCTCAAAATTTCTGGGTTCTCTGACTTCACACTCACAGCTTTACACACTGTCCTCTCAGGTGCACACTGCCAGATCTCCCAGGCCTTCTGCAATCTGGTTGGAAGTTTTCCTGCCCCCACAACTCTTGCATTCTGCATATACCGGAAACTAGCACCATGTGGATGATGACAAGGTCGGCCACCTGCTGGAGCAGTAGCCAGGTTTCCTTCTCCCTTTGATGTAGGGGTCTAGTTCCTAGAACCAAATTCCAAGGAATAACTTCCCCAGGCCGCATCCATTCTGGAACGTGCTCTAGGACACTTCTCAAAGCAAAGTCTTTTACCTTTCAACTCTGAGGCTGCAAAGGCTGGAATCCTATTGGCTTTTGTAATATCCTCAGGTGATCTTTTCTCTTGTCTTCTTCTAAGGTACTTGACTTTTTCTTGCTAGACTTTTTAGCAAACAATTTTTCCTCTGTTGCATGTTTGAAGGCCACAACTTTACTGGAACTTCCTTTCTGGCTGAACTCACAAAATTTTGCATCATTCAGATGGGCTCTTGGCTCTTGATTCTCAACACAGATCTGACTAAAAGCCCTGAACAGTAACCATGCCACTGCCTCAACATTAGGCTATCTTGAAATTTCTTCTTCAAGATTCATTAGCCTGCCATCCTTAATCTTAGCCTTAGGCAAAATCTCTGAACATGAGAAAAATACAGATAAACTTTCTGTTAAGGTATAATACATGTTGTCTGGAGTCTAACAGCCAGTGCAGTCCTTCCCAGGAGAAAATTCCTGAACCTGGTATTTACCAACTTTCTGGTCTTCTGATCTCTGTCCATTATCTCCCATACAGTACAGCCTAAGGTGTTCCAGGTCTACTTTTTCAGACAGCATCTCTGAACCTTTCCTAACTCTTCACTTTCTCACAAGACAGGTCCAAAGGCTCTTGAGCCACATTGTCAAGCATCACAGCAACGACCCCATTTCTCTGGTACCAAATTCTGTTAGTTTTATTGTTGCTGAGACAAAATACTTGACACCCAAAGTTAAAGGGGGAAGGTTTATTTAGCTCACAGTTTGTAGAGGTTTCAATCCATTATCGACTGGCTCCAAGGCAGGTTGGTGTAGTAAGCAACACTTGCAGAGGAGAAACAGCTCATGGTGGCCAGAAGGTAGCAAAAGCAACAAGGGAACCTTAACATCATCTTTCTGCCCCTTTTATTTTATCCAGACAACTGAGATTAGAGTGCTGCCAAACCAATCAGTGTACTGTTTTAGTAACCACACACCCTTAATCCCAGCATCACACACTCTAGTTTCAGCCACCTCTGAAAAAGCCACCTATGACTGCATGAGGGTTTGGGAGACATCTAGACCCAAGCCATAACACTCTGTTTTTCTGATGTGGGCATTTGTTGCTATAAACTTTCTTCTTTGGACTGTTAAGAAATTTTCCCATGGGTACTGGTATGTTGTGCTGCCATTATAATTTGATTTTAGGAACTTTTAAAGTTTTTTTAGTTCTTCTGTAACCCATTCACTATTCAAGAGTGGATTGTTTAATCTCCATGTATTTCCATAATTTCTGTGATTTATTTTACCATGTATTTCTAGCTTCATTATACTTTGACCTGATAATAATTGAGTTCATTTATATCTCTGTAAGTACAAATTAAGTTTATGGTCTAATATGTGTTCTATTTTGGAGAAAGCAGTGTGGGCTGCAGAGGAAAATGTGCATTCTGTTGTTGGGTGGAACACTCTGTAGAAGTCTATTAAATTAATGTGTTCAAAGTTGTGGTTTAACTTTGATATTTTAACTGTGATATTTCTGATATTTTGTTGACTTTTTTGTCTGTACCTATTTGTGACTATGGGTTAATGAAGTCTCCCACCATGAGTATGTTAATGTTCATCTGATCTTTTATGTCCAGTAGTATTTGTTTCATGAAAGTGGGTGTTGGCATTCAGTGCCTATATATATATTTAATTTTTGTGTCTTCATATTGAAATGTTTCTTTTGCCAGTATGTAATATCCTTTGTCTCTTCTAATCAGATTTGAATTGAAGTCTACTTTATCTGGAAATAAAATAGCCCTTCCTGCTTGGTTTCAGGCTCCTGTTACATGGAGTATTGCTTTCTAATCTTCTAGTTTTAATCTATAAGTTTCTTTATAGTGTAAATGTGTTTCTTATAAACAACATAAAGTTGAGTTTTGTTTTTGATTCAATTAGCCAATCTGTGTCACTTGATTGAGGAGTGAAGACCGTTTCCATTGGGAGTTATTACTGAGAGTGATTGACTAATTGATTTCATGCATTATCTTTCTGTTGTCAATTCCTTTATATTTCCCATTTGCCTAACTCCTCACATTGCTCAACATATTCATTACATTAGGCTCACTCATATTGTTGCCCTCACTGTGTCTTAGAATTTTTGAATGCTTTTTGTAGTGCTAGTTTTGTTGTCATGAATTTCTTAAGGTGATTTTGGTCATCAGAAGTCCTTATTTCTCAGTAAATTTTGAAAGAGCGTTTTGCAGGATACATTAATCTGTATTGACAGTGTTTTCTTCTAGGGCTTGCAAAAACTTCAGTTCAGGTTCTCCTGACTGTTAAGATTTGTATTGAGAAATCTGCTATAATTTTGATAGGTTTGCCTTTATAAGTTATTTATTGCTTTTTTCTAACAGCTTTTTAAATCTGTTCTAGTGTTGGCCTTCTGGGATGTTAACTTTAGTGTGTCATGGGGAAGTTCTTGATCCTTGTTATTTGGAGTTCTATATGATTCATTTAGCTTGAACCTAAATTCCTTCCCTAAACTTAAAAAAAAAAATTCTGCTACCTTTTTTGCTGTCTTCTAGCTTATATTTTAACTTCCACAGTCCTTAATTTAGTTTTCCTTTGTAGCAGTTGTTAGAGAGTTCCATGGTCTCTTGTTTTTAAAGTATGTCTGAGTATATGGTCTTCTGAATCAACCTTATCTAATTTGGAAACCCTCCTCTCATTGATCATTTCTGCTTAAAAGAAGGAGATGCTTCAAAAATTTGCAGGGCATCCCTGTGCAGGGACCATGCTAAACTTTTCTTTATCTTTCCAACTTTAGTATATATGTTCCTGAAGCAAGCACAGTCCTTGTAATACATATGAAACATCATTCTCTTTATAGCATTTGCCTATCTACATCAGAGTAAGCTAGGTTATGTAGAGTATTGTGAAATCTCATTAGACTAGAACAACACATATTTATTTCTTTGTCATGCTACCAATCCAACACTGATTCCATAAGATTCTTCTCATTGTAATCTCCAATGTGTGTGACTATACTCTGACATACAACATATAAATGTGAAAAATTTCTTAGCCTGGTGTACAGGGTAGTATTTTAAAGAACTAAAAATAAAGTGAAAAAAAAATTCCTGATGTATTTTGGAGAAAATACTGAAAAATTTCATTGAAATCTCTAAAGAATGAGCAATCTCATGTAGTCCCACAGAGATTGAAAGGAACTTTTTCAAGTGTTAAGAGCAGAAATGTTGTATTTTCTTCTTGTTGACTATTTTAGAACTAGTGGTCCTGCTTACCTACTTGACAGAATAATAAAAATCAAGCATAATTTTCCAGTATGAGATGCTCAAAACTCCTCAACATTTCTCAAAAAGAGGAATGTTACTAGACATGGGTTCTGGCCAAGGTCTAACATGTTACACAATAAAGCTGTTTGAACAAATTGAACAGTTCAAGTTCTTATTCTTCAGTGGTGTTCTATTTGGATTCCTTATTCAGCCAGTTTAAAATCTTTTCTTAGGTTCTATTGTTTCTTCCAAAAACTTGTCTTTCTTGGAATTCAATATGGCTCATGGGGTCTAGGGCCTCTTCATTTTGAAGATGGAAACCATTGATTTGCACTTTAGTTTAGTTGCACTTGCCCAGAGATTATAGCAAGTTCTGGGTCCAAGATTTCAATTGATGTAAAAAGGAAGTATATATACTTGCGTTGCCTTGTTCCCTGCATATGTATCTCCTTGGAAGCTGTGATAACAAGGATAGGAGAGCCTGGCATGGTGGTGCACACCTGTAATCCCAGCACTCAGTAGGCTGAGGCAGGGGGATCGCTGTGAGTTTGAGACCAGCCTGGACTACATAGTGAGTTCCAAGTCAGTCTCAACTACATAGTGAGACCTTGTCTCAACACCCCCCAAAAAAACCCCCCAAAACAAAATAAAACAAAAAACAAACAAGAATAGGAGAGGTGTGTCTGCAGCAGGAAACTTCGCAGTCACTCAAGATACTTGGATTCCACATGGTAATAACAACCCCTGCTTTTCTATTATTCTTCACCATGGAGACAAAAACTTCATGTTTATGTTTAAATGTAGAAAATGTTGGAGTGTCAGTATTTAATAAAGACCCTGTTTGTTTTGGAGTCTACTCATATTTTGATAGAATTAGCTTAGGGATTTACAACTGATTTTAAGACAAGACTTGATCATGGAAACTAGTCATAGCTAGCTACTAGTCATTGCATTTAGGGCAAAGAAAAACGAATCTAAAATGTTTAACTATCTTACCATATCTTGAATAGTTCACATTATCTTCAGTGGTGTATTTACCAATTTGTGAGTGGACTTGTTTTGATATGGTAAAGTTAGAATGTGTGAAAAATAAAATTATTTTATATTTAATTGCATCTAGGGAAACTTAATAAGAGATATATTTAGATTTCATTTTTCTATGAATACACAGATTTAAAATCTTATAAGACTTACATAATAAAAATAATATGATTGTGTTGCTGGTGATAAAGAAGTATTAGTTAAACTTAGAAATATATGGGAAGTAAAATCCAGACCACCTGTTCCAAATGTAGCTGCAGTGAAAAGCTTTTGCATTATTTTACATTGACTATTATTCTTATTCTATTACTAGGTAATAGAAAAAGAAAAATATTAAATGATTCATATAAAAGTGTTGTTTAAAATTAAATTGATTTTCAGACAGCAGTTGGGTCTTAAAGATCTTACCAGTCCTTAGTGTCTCAAAATGCTTCATTTCTCAGCTTTACAGATCGTATTCCTGCAGCCTAAGATGCATGAATTGGAGATCAAAGAAACAGTTTTATGTAATAAGCTGCCTTCATATTTCATCTTCATAGTAATAAGTGATTTCATCACTCCCTTTATATTAAATGACTAAACAGTATTCAGAAAGGTAAAATTTTATGCCCAAAGCCAAAATAGTAGTAATACCAGTATTTTAGTAAATATGTTACTAATATTACTATCTGTAGTCTATATTATTATTAATTTTAACCAATGGAGACAAACCTTCAATATAATCTAATGAACTGTTTCATCTTAATGATTTACCAGCCTGTTGAAAAAGTCAAAAGAAGAATACTTTGGACAATTTGTTAGTGATGTCTTATTCACACGACATCATCAAAATTATTAATTAACTCATTTACTTACTACCAATGTTTTCAAATGACAATAAAATTTCTAAAAACTTCCAAATTTAATAAAAATCACCTAATCACTTTTTCAACCTGACTCTGGTTTTGCTCTATCATTTAGGCAAAATGCTTAAAACTGTAATAAGGTAGTTAATTTTTGGTAAACATAACATGTTTTACATTTTGTGTAGCTATAATTGTCATTGGTCTTTTCTCCATTGTGTTTATTAAAATGTAATATTCCTGGACAAAATATCCCTTGCAGTAGGTAAGGAGCAGCAAAATAAATGAAGGCCTAATATACTCACTGAGCTAAATGTCAAAAAATATCAAAGTTTTAATTTTATAGTGGGGTGTATGTACCAGTTTGATGATACCCATTTAGGTTTCTTGGCAAAGAAACAACTTATAGTTCATTTCTCTGACCAATTTATGGGTAAATCCCATCTTTGATTTTCACTTTTTCATTAAGCAATGGCATCACCATGTCACTTTAAAGTGTACACATGTTCTCTGTATCCATTCTTCATGTGAACACCTCTTCAGTTCTAAGAAATCGAGGGGAGCTGTCAATCAAAGTGGCTCCATCCTTCTGTCTTCCAGACACAGCCATTGACACACAGATGGCCATGTGACAAAGTAGCACCGCACTGGGGAACCTTTTTCTGCTAGATAGAGCTCTGAGTCCCTCGAATAGCTCCATAGGAAACCTGTTAAGGACATGAAAGGAAAATAGTAGAATAGAGTCAGGAGTAGGAAGAGGTTGAAGATTCAGACAGAGAGGAGCTGAGTGATGTATTTTTTATCTCTGTCATATTTTAATTCAGTAACTGAATCCTTTTATCTTTTTAATTTAAAAGCTTGTTATTTTAAACTAAAAAATTTTAGTTAATATTTTCTTTCATTTTATTTTCCTACTTTGGATTTATCTTTAACCCATAGCATACAGAACTGCGGCTAATTGGGAAGACAATTTGTAAAATGTTGTCTTAGATTAAAAAATAATTATAATAATACTTGATATTGCCCTAACTAATACTTATATAGCATACTATAGCTTTACTTATGTGATCTTACTCAATCTTTATAACAGTCTTATTATTTTGGAACAATTATTATCTCAGCTTTTCAAGTTGGGGTAGATGAGACACAGAGGAAGTAATAAATTTTTCCAGAGTCATCCATTTGGTTAGAATAAAAATGGAATAAAACACAGACAGTTTAGCTTTACAATCTATTTTCTTAAATCAATCAGCAAATTATATTTTAAAAGATTGGGTGTGTTTTCATATATGTTTAACTCCTATGTGTTATTACAAATTTTCTTTAAATTGTTGTTGTCTGATGCATTTTCTGGCTTCTTAAACTATGGATTTGTACTTGGACAAAAAAAAGCATGAATGATGCAGATTGTCCTTTTCTTTGTAGATATAAGCTTTTCTGGCAGACTTCATATGAATTTCTGTCAATTTTTTTAAGAAACAGATTTAGCAGGAAATGAGGGCTTTAAAGAGCTTATGATAAATACTAGGTAGTATACTTCTGTCTCAAAAAGAAATTTAGCAGATTTTTAAACTTAATCTAGTAATTGTTTTACATGATGAGCAATATAGACATCTGTGAGTGGGCCCAGATATTTAACAAAAGCAAATTTATGCCTGCACCTGAAGCGGGAGTTGAAAAGAAAAATTTCTTTTTGTAATCAGCATGCTATAGGAAGTTTTTCTGTGCTTACTAGCTTCCTGTAGCATTCTGCTGGCTGAAATTCTTATCATAATTTAATTTTACCCTGAGTTAATCCCATCTAGGGTACTTTGGCAGAGATCAATGTTTGAAATATGCCCTGGGATGTTTTCTTTGAACATAGAAAGCTCTAGAAATGTGACTCCATTATACATAAGGAGAAGAGAGTTTACTTTCACATCTTACGCCACTCCCAAACTGCTAGTAAAGACTACCAATCAGAAGATACAGCATCAGAGAATGGAGAAAGTCTGGGCACAGTTTGTGATTGTGCATGTTGTGCAAAAACCTGTGGAGAGATTTAACTCTCATTAAGCCACACCAGAAGGAACCATGCCTCTAGATCCCTGTAAATTGGCCCCTTTGGAGAACACTGAGAATTGTACACAACAAGAAGTACAGTGTAGCAGTTCGGAGTAATGAATTTGCAGTGAAATTGCCAATGGTGAATATGCTCCCAGTCTGATCTTTGGCATTTTAAGCAATAATTCTTAGAGAACATATTTAATTTTACTCCTAATCTAGTGTGTTTTTGAAACACTTAAGTAAAATAGCCCATGAAAAATATTAAGCAAACTAAGTTATTAAAAATTTTCAAAAGAGATGCAATTTATTATTCCTTTTCTCATTGAGTTTATTGGTACATCTTAGGTATACAGTACAGTTACATTCATTATTGGGATCTTGTACCTTTACATGACAGGTCTTGGTTCTTATTTTTGTCCCTTGTCCCTGCCCTCCCTTCACCCCCTCCTCCCTTCCTATTTACTAATACTTTATTTCCATTTTTTTCATTTTCTGGTATCTTTGTCTTTTCCCTTATTACCTTTCCCCTACCCTTCCCACTTCCCCTACACCTTTAGCCCTTTTCTTCCTATTTCACATTGTCAATTATATCATTAGGATCTTATGTACAATTATAGCTTCTCACA